AAAGTTATGAGAGAAAGAAAGTGGGATTAAGGCCAGGCACGGTGGCTCATGCCTATAATCCCAGCACTTTGGGAGGCCACGATGGTTGGATCATGAGGTCAAGTGATCGAGACCATCCTGGTCAACATGGTGAAACCCCGTCTCTACTAAATATACAAAAATTAGCTGGGCATGGTGTCACATGCCTGTAGTCCCAGGAAAGAGGCAGGAAAATTGCTTGAACCCAGGAGATGGAGGTTGTGGTGAGCCAAGGTTGTGCCATTGCACTCCAGCCTGGGTAACAAGAGGAAAACTCTGTCTCCAAAAAGAAAAAAGAAAAAGAAAGTGGGATTGAAGTATTTTATACCCAGCAAAACTGTCTTTTAAATATATCAGCATGTTTATTGCAGCACTGTTCACAATACCAAAGGCTTGGAACCACCCAAATGCCCATCAATGATAGACTGGATAAAGAAAATGCAGCTGTGAATATACTTTATAATTTGTATATATATATATATATATATATATATATATATATATATATATGCTGAACTTCTGGAAATTCGAAATCAGCATCTTTGCCTATGAGCTTCTTATAGACCCCAGAAAAAGTTATGACCTTGTGTTCCATATTGTTCTGCTGTGCTCTGTCCATATGAACCTTTATGAGCTGGCTGCCATCCAGTTTCATGTGGAAAGACCAAATCCTCAAGGATTGCATCATAAATGCAATCAAGCTGAGTCTTGAGGTCCAAGTTCATCTACAGCATCAGAAGACCCTGGAAAATGCCACACTTGAACTCATCTGACTTCTCACTGTTGGGCTTCACGATCTTGGCACTTGAACTGAACATGGCCTTCTTGCTGAGTGCTGATTTAGGAAAACAGATAGACATTCTAAACAAATAAGAATAGTGTATGCCCAAGCTCCCCCAGCGATGGCCACTTTCTGGTCCCGAACACAAGCATAGCTGAAGAACAACTGCAAGTTGAATTGTTCCTGAAGGCTGGCAGTGATGGGGCTAAGGTTGGGAACTGCCCCTTCTCCCAGAGACTGTTCATGGTGCTGTGGCTCAATTAGTCACCTTTAACGTCACCATCTTTGACACCGAGAGGCAGACCAAGACAGTGCAGAAGCTGTGCCCAGGAGGGCAGCTCCCGTTCCTGCTGTATGGCACTGAAGAGCACAAAGACACCAACAAGATTGAGGAATTTGTGTAGGCAGTCCTGTGCCCTTCCAGGTACCCCAAGCTGGCAGCTCTGAACGCTGAGTCCAACACAGCTCAGCTGGACATATTTGCTAAATTTTCTGCCTCCATCAAGAATTCAAACCCAGCACTCAATGACAATCTGGAGAAGGGACTCCTGAAAGCCCTGAAGGTTGTAGACAATTACTTGACATCCCCTCATCCAGAAGTGGATGAAACCAGTGTTGAAAATGAAGGCATCTCTCAAAGGAAGTTTCTGGATGGCAATGAGCTCATCCTGACTGACTGCAACCTGTTGCCAAAGCTCCCCATGGTACAAGCAGTGTGTAAGAAGTACTGGGGGAATGGGGTGTGGTGATTCATGCTTATAATTGCAGCACTTTGGGAGGCCAAGGTGAGTGGATCACTTGAGGTCAGGAGTTCAAGACCAGCCTGGCCTACATGGTAAAATGCCACCTCAAAAAAAAAAAAAAAATTAGCCAGGTGTGGTGGTGCATGCCTGTAAGCCCAACTTCTCAGGAGGCTGAGACAGGAGAATCACTGGAACTTGGGAGGCAGAGGTTTCAGTGAGCCAAGATCACGCCACTGCACTCTAGCCTGGACGACAAAGTGAGACTCCATCTCAAAAAAAAAAAAAAAAAAAAGAAGTACCTGGGATTCACCATCCCTGAGGCCTTCCAGGGAGTGCATCGGTTCTTGAGCAATGCCTATGCTCTGGAATAATTTGCCTCCACCTGTCCAGATGATGAGGAAATCAAGCTCACCTACGAACAAGGGGCCAAGGCCCTCAAATAAGCCCCTTTGGGGACTCTTTCAACCCCCTCCATTTCCTCCACAAAGGCCCTGGTGGTTTCCATATTGCTACCCAATGGACACATTACAAAATGGCCAGTGGGCAGGGAATCCTGAAGCACTTGTTCAGGGATGGTATGGTGGAAGAGGGGATGAGGGAAAGAAATAGGGGACCGGGGTAAGATTTTTACTGTGGGGTGGGATGGGTAGGACAACATATTTCAGTAGTAAAATACAGAATAAAAACTTTCTGAAAAGGAAATAGTGCATGAGTCATTTCTTTTTTTTTTTTTTAAAAGCTGGGGTTTCTCCATATTGGTCAGCCTAGTCTCAAACTCCCAACCTCAGGTGATCCGCCCACCTCGACCTCCCAAAGTGCTGGGATTACAGGCATGAGCCACTACGCCCAGCCATGAGTCGTTTTTAAAAGAGTTGAAACTCAAACTTTCAGAGCCAGTGTTGAGTGATTAAAAAAAAAAAAAAAAAAAAGTCACTGTGTAGCCCATGAGCCCTCAATAAATGTCACCCTCAGGTCTGGTTTATAAAGCATGTGTTTTGCTTTGCACGTTTCCTTCGTTTGAGTCAGCTAACTACTCAAATAAGTGAGCAGCTGGAACTGACTCACTTGGAATTAAGTTCAGGAAGAGAAGGTAAGAAAAATCAATAGATAGGAGAATCAACATATATTTCATCAGCAAAGACTTTGCATCTGTGCGAAAGATCATGTTTTATTATTTCTTTTTTTTCCTTTAGGTATAAGTCACAGGATTACAGCATATCCCAAAAAAAAGCACTTTGCCAAAAATTGAAAATTTATTTTCTAGAACAGTGGCCATGGGGTTTCAGTAGGTAATGAAATGAATTATTAAGGCTGGGCACAGTGGCTCACACCTGTAATCCCAGCACTTTGGGAGGCCAAGGAGGGCAGATCACAAGGTCAGGAGATCAAAACCATCCTCACTAACATGGTAAAACTCCATCTCTACTGAAAAAAATACAAAAAATTAGCCAGGTGTGGTGGGACATGCCTATAGTCCCAGCTACTTGGGAGGCTGAGGCAGGAGAATCACTTGAACCCAGGAGGCAAAAATTGCAGTGAGCTGATACTGTGCCACTGTACTCCAGCCTGGGCAAAAGAGCAAAACTCCATCTCAAAAAAAAAGAAAGAAAAGAAATTAATTATTAAGCACATTTCTTTCTTAATTCAGTTTAGTGTAAGAAAAGTTGAGGCTTAAAGACTGGTAATTTTAAATTATCTTCAGCAAATTCATAGGCTTGTCTAACTGAACTCAACTGCACACATTTTTATAGTATAATGCCTATTTCCAGGTGTATATGATGAATCCCTTGGTATGATACACTGCAACTCAGCTCTAATGTTTGGTTAAATCACGCACAGCACATGCAACAGATTTTAAAAATAATTCTATCATATCTCATATAGTAGGAGGAACAGAAATGCAGAAACACAGCTGGAAAAAGACACCAATATCTACACATGCATATTCACGTCTCATCCATGCACATCTTTTTTTTGTTGTTTTTTTTAAGATGGGGTTTCACCATGATGGCCAGGCTGGTCTTGAATTCCTGATCTCAGATGATCCACCCACCTCGGCCTCCCAAACTGCTAGGATTACAGGCATGAGCCACTTCGCCCGGCCCACACCTGGCCTTTTTTTTCCCCCCATGCACATCTTCATCCTGCTCAGGCATATTCTTCCAAAGACTTTTCTTCTACCCTCTCACTCACTCACTCCTTTAGCCTTTAGAGAAATGAATGGGGCTCTGGGCACGGTGGCTCACACCTGTAATCCCAGCACTTTGGGAGGCTGAAGTGGGCAGATCACAAGGTCAGGAGATCAAGACCATCCTGGCTAATATGGTAAAACTCCATCTCTACTAAAAATACAAAGAATTAGGCAGGCATGGTGAAATGTGCCTGTAGTCCCAGCTACTCAGGAGGCTGAGGCAAAAGAATCACTTCAGCTCAGGAGCCAGAGATTGTAGTGAGCCGAGATCATGCCATTGTACTCCAGCCTGGGCGACAGAGCAAAAAAAAAAGGGAGAGAAAAATGAATGGGATGAGTGACTAATCTATTTTTTTCACCAGCCTAGTGAGCATCAGTTAATTGAACATAGTATTTGGGAGCCAGTAGTATTTGGGAGGCAGAAGAAAACCAGGAACCAGAAGCCTTCGTATGCCCAGTGTATTCTACCTGTCTACTTACATCAAAGGGGATTGGAGACACGGCTGTGCAGATTCTCCTTCATTCATGTCTTCATGATTATATGAATCACATTTAGTGCCCCAACTGCTTGCCAGTTTGGGGGAGTAGGGATTTGGGTACAAAGTCTCACTCTGTCACCCAGGCTGGAGTGCAGTGGCCCAATCTTGGCTCACTGCAGCCTCAACCTCCTGGGCTCAAAGGATCCTCCCACCCCAGCCTCCCAAGTAGCTGGAACTACAGGTATGAACCACCATGCCCAGCTAATTTTTGTATTTTTTGTAGAGATACCTAGGCTGGTCTCAAACTCCTGGCATCAAGTGATCTGCCCATCTCAGCCTCCCAAAGTGCTGGGACTACAGGTGTGAGCCACCTCATGCTCAAGGACTATTTTAATCAAAGCAAAGACATGCCATGAGTTGTCCTCATACCACAGTTTAGTATGGTTGGAGTTCACATCCTGATCAAAGAGAGGCTGCAGGGCTAGCATAGTGGGGAACCTCATGAGTGAAGAGGAGAGAACAATTATTTTACTTAGATGCTGAAAACTGTGTTCACAAGGACTTTAAAGAAATAAAGCATTGTTACAGGACTGTCTCTCTCAGAGTCCCAAGGTCAGGCTGGGTAGCCTTTCAGTTTTTAACTCTTTTTATTTCATCTTCATTGTCTGGTTTCTGATCGCGTGTAACAAACTTTTTATTGTGATGAGCAGATACTATTCTGGGACTTCTTAAATTCAAAATAATCAATTATATGGTAAAAAGATAATGCTTAATTTTTTCCAATTTAGATAACTTACATACGACAAGAATATGAAACAAAATTGAAAGGGTTGATGCCAGCATCTCTAAGACAAGAACTTGAAGACACCATTTCCTCCCTAAAATCACAGGTAATTACTAGAATCAAGGCATTTTCCAAGAATTTAGGTGATGTGCATACTCTGAAAAGGAACTTGCAAATAAATCTGATTTCAAATTGATTACAGAAATCAATGTGATGTCATTGCATAACCTGCTACACAGGATAAATTGTTTTTGTTTTAAATATTTTCTTACTTGTTTAATAACTCACTGTCTCAATGAGAATTTCTTTAAAGCACCCTTAAAATTGAAAAGTTCAGTCAGTTATGATAACTTTAATTCATTTACAGTCTATCTTCTAATATAGCCTCATCCTTTTATTCTTGGTGTCAGGTCCAAAATGCCATCACTTAGCATATGGCTGATTCATCATTGTGTAGAAGTGCAGAGAAATTGAAAGCACAGTTATGTTAGAAGCACTTTTATTCTGGTGTATTTTACATGATTGTTAGAGATAACAAGATGTATTCTAAGTTCAAAGCAAAATAATGACAAGGTATTCAAACAATTAGGTTACATAGCTCCTGTTGAAATGTGTGGTTCTTGGCCAGGCAAGGTGTCTCATGCCTGTAATCCTAGCACTTTGGGAGGCCTAGGCAGGCAGATCACTTGAGGTCAGGAGTTCAAGACCAGTCTGGCCAATATGGCAAAATCCCATCTCTACTAAAAATACAAAACAAAGCTGGGTGTGGTGGCCCATGCCTATAATCCCAGCTACTCAGAAGGCTAAGGCAGGAGAATAGCTTGAACCTGGGAGGCGGAGGTTGCAGTGAGCTGCATTCGTGCCATTGCACTCCAGCCTGGGCAACAGAACAAGACTCTATCTCAAAAAAAAAAATGTGGTTCTAGATATTGTTTATGAAATATGATGTGAGTAAAACTTCTAACATGTTTTTGCTACATATTTCTGTATTGTTTGAATGTTTTATATATTACTGGTATCATGAGAAAGACTTTACATATTCACATTTCCAATACACTTTGAAATTTTTTTTTTGAGACAGAGTTTCGCTCTGTTGCTCAGGCAGGTGTGAAGTAGCGTGATCTTGGCTCAGCAATCTCTGCCTCCCGGGTTCAAGCAATTCTCCTGCCTCAGCCTTCCAAGTAGCTGAGATTACAGGAGCACGTCACCACATCTAGCTATTTTTTGTATTTTTAGTAGAGATGGAGTTTCACTATGTAGGCCAGGCTGGTCTCTATTTCCTGACCTCAGGTGATTTGCCTACCTCAGCCTCCCAAAGTGTTGGGATTACAGGCATGAGCCATTGCGCCCAGCCCACTTTGAAATTCAAGACATTTTTTTTCCTGAAAAAATTTCATAAAGGAAAGGATTTCTTTATTCTCCGTGCCAAGAACTGAGCCTGGCATATAACAGGTGCTTAATCAATTTATTTATGAATAAAATAAATGATATGGTTTGATGATATCCACATTATCTATTTACAATATGTAAGATAAGATGTGGAACACATTTTAGCTGCTCTTTTTATATTCCCTAGTAAAAAGTCTCTTATCTGAAAATGAAATGTTCATAATCTCAATCCATATGCTACTGTTTGTTATTGATTCTATGAGCTAAGAAATTTTGCTCATGCCTGCATATAAAAATAAGTACTGGAGGAGAATGGTAACATACAAAGAGTTAAGTAATCTCTATTTGCATGAAAAGCTCCACTCCAGGTGTGGTTTACCCATTAAGTTTGTAGGCGAACTACAGATAGTGTCAGCTATGTAGGACCTGACGCCTTCAGAGGAATTTTTTGAGAAAGAGGAAAAAAAAAGAAATCTGATACCCACCTGCAGGGCTTCTGTTATCATTCATATCATTTCACTGTAATAAAAGCCACTTCAGCCTCCTAAAACTGGATGCTGACCCAGAAAGAGAGTGCTGCCAGCTGTGATAGGGCCTCAGAGTTGGCAGCTGCACGGAGGAGTCACAGGCCATACAGCGAGCAAATTTAGTTTGAAAGCACAGGTGCCTGTGTTTTTTAAGAATTGTTGGAATTCCGATTACAGAGCATGGTTGGGGGAGGGAAGTGGAATCAGTGTAATTCTTGTATCTGTCAGAATTATCAGTTGTCCTCTGGGTCACTTGAGCAATTAGATAAAATGAAGACCAGGGTGCTATCCAAATAAGCAAAACCAAGAGGACCACTTTGAAATGCACCCATTTACAAAGACTGTGTTTTCTTCTCTGTCAAGCACATTTTCTGTTCTGCCAGCTGTACTCTCTTGCATAACTATGTTTTGGGATCAAGCGTTGCCATGGTTTCAGTTCAGACCAAAGATGCAAGAATAAACAATTCTGAAACGATCAAATACCACTGACTCTTGATTACATTAAGCATGGTATAAGTTAGCCCCAAACCATTTATACTGGGCTGTGTAAGGTGCATTTGAATTCACGCCTGATACAAGCATCTTTAATAGTATAGAAATGTATGCTTCAAAATAATCAAATGCTTTGTAAAGGTCTGATTTAAGAGAATATGCTAAACAACCCAGTTTCCTCTAGCTCCCTAAGAATGGTGGTCTGGGAGTTCTACCTGCTTTGAGCTCTGCACTAGGAGGTTTCTATAGCTGTTTCATGTCATCCTCATAACCTTGGGAAGTAGCTGTCGTTAACCCCATTTCACAGATAAGGGATCAAGAGCTTAAGTAATATTTCTAGAGCCACAGATGGCAAGCCAGGAATTGAACCCAAGTTGGCCTAACTCCAGACAAAGCTCAGGCTCTTTCCACTATGAAGTTCTGTCTCTCCAGCCTCAGGGAATCCCTAGGTTGGATTGAGGTTTCCAGAAAGCAGTAATTTTCTTTATACTCACTCATTCATTCATTCAACAGCTAGTGAAACCAGCTACATGCCCAGCCCTATAAAATAAACTGGGGATAGAGAGACAGAAAAGTCATTCCTGCCCAAGAGAAGCTCTCAGGTTTAGGGAAGAAATATGAAAACAAATAACCACAAAGCAACTTGAGAAGTACCAGTCACAGAGGGGAGGAACACAGAGGAGGGGACCGCTGGCTTTGCCTGGGGCTAGGAGATGGGAAGCATTTGGGGAGGCATCGAACGATTCCACAGGAAAGGTGACATTTGAACCAAATGGTGGAGGATGAATAGGACACAGAAAGACAAGTGTTCCAAAGAGAGAAAATGGCCTGGGCCAAAGAGCAATGGAGTGAGTGAAGCAGCAATGGTGGGCAGGGCGTGAGGACAGATGAAGCCGCAATGATGGGGTGGTGGGGGCAGATCAAAATGGCTCTGCAGTGAGGAGTCTGAACTTTATTCTGTCATATCTGATGGATTTTCAGTAAGGATGGGATGTGACCAAATGTAAAAAAACGCAACATTGACATTCAAGAAATCCTCTGAGTTTTATCTAGGGAATTGTCTGAATTTAAATAAAATCTTACCATACTATTTGCACAATATTGGCATGTAAGCCACGTTCACCTCTTCTCACACAAGGTGTCTTTTCTAGGTTAATTTTCTGCAAAAGAGAGCTTCCATCCTTCAGGAAGAACTGACCACATACCAAGGCAGAAGGTACAGCCCATAAGCAGGTGTCATCTGGTTAGTTTCTGTTGCGGCACCTGTGAGCCTCCTCATTTGGCCTTTGTCTTTATTAAAATGCTTGGACATAATAGAACTTTTGAAAAAGTCTTGTTTTTAGTAAGTAGCCTGTCTTTAAGAAGTCACCCGTCTTCTCATCCTATTGTTTAGTCTGTACTGTCAGAACAAGATGAGAGAATTGGCACACGGTGGAGCATGCCTGTAATCCCAGCACTTTGGGAAGCTAAGGTGGGTGGATCACTTGAAGTCAGGAGTTTGATAACAGCCTAGTCAACATGGTAATACCCCGTCTGTACTAAAAATACAAATAGCTGGGCATGGTGGTACACGCCTGTAATCCCAGCTACTCAGGAGGCTGAGGCAGGAGAATCGCTTAAACCTGGGAGGTGGAGGTTGCAGTGAGCTAAGATCACACCACTGCACTCCAGCCTGGGTGACAAAGCAAGACTCTGTCTCAAAAAAAAAGAAAAGAAAAGAAAGAAAGATGAGAGGATCTACAGGGGCACAGCAAGTCCAGGCCTTACCTGAGTAGTCATGACAAGATGATAAGACGTTGGCTTGAGGCCCAGTGATGGGGTGAAGGAGACGCAATCTTCCTTTAAGATAGTGAAATCATGCAATTCTTGCTAGGATAGCTCACATCTTTAAAGTCCCTTTCCCCTAAGGGTTTGCTGTTGTTCCAGACCAGAAGAGATCAACAGCTCAGTGACCCAACACTCACAGTGACTTGAGTGCCCTCAGTGCTGTTTTTGGGGATGCACGAGATCTTTTGTAGTCGAAGGTCCCCATAGATTGTGTTTATCTGCTGTAATTCCATCAAACACCCTTCGTGTTTGTGCAGTGAAAGGCTGAACTGCTTATTTGGCTTTGCATTAAAAGGAAAGATCTTGTACATCACACATTTTTCAAAAGATTCTGTTTGCTTTGTGTAGGTAAGATTTGTTCCCTTATAGGCATAAATGATGAAATTTTGATATCAAATATGCTTTTCAGCCCCTATCAACTTCTCCAGAATTGAAACATATTTTTTGATTGACATGCCTATTAAACCTAGAGAAAGTCATGACTGCGATTTTTGGTTTACAGGTAACAACAGCACATGAGAATGCTATGGTTGCAGTTTCCAGGCTGCACTGTGGACTTCCTACATCAGGTTTGAAGATTTGGGTCTTGTAAACTGTGAGATCAGTGGCTTTTTTTTTTAATCCTTAAATGTTATTAAGATCATAAAAACATGCATCATTCATATACTAGTGGGGTGGTTTTATTTGTGTCTGCCTAAGTTATTTTTTTAACATTCCTTTATTTCTGATTTTCATGTTTGTGTGCATTTGAGTATGTGCTAAGAACTGCTTATATTGGGCAAAGAAATGATTTCTTATGAAACGCCTCGTTAATACTTCTGCATGGAATTTTACCAGTTGCGTCTGATCAAAATCACGTTTGTAGTATCATATCAAAAATTCTAACCTGTTTACATTGTTGTCATGTTCATGTTCATATATTATTAAAATCTTATTTTGTACTTATCAGTTTGATTTCTACTTTTTATCACAACTCATTTGCTAGAATAAGTATGACATGTATATGGTATTTTTCCCTAGCAAATGCTAGCAATCTCAAATTGTACTTTGGGAAAATATACCTTATATCATGTCAACAATCAAATCCATAATTAGTGCATGAACTGGCGTTTAGGATAAATCACTGGGATCATCTGATATCAGTCCAAGTATTTGCCATGTTAGCCTCCAGTTGCATCCTGGAACTCCAGAGGCAGAATGGTGTAAGAATTTTGTATAGCAACTCTGGTGTTATTGCTGCTTTCTTGATCTCTCTTTTTATGGTTGTTGTTTTAGTTATAATATCAATTGATGATCCTTAGGAATGCCTAAAATATGTGAGGACACAACACATTGGCCAGTAGTCGCAGAGTGTGCTTTACTTAGTCTGGTTTGCCCGTGGGCACCGCCTGATTGAGAACTATGGTGTTGCTTCCATGAGTGGATGGTTAAGTCTAGGTCCCTCTCCCCACCCAAATGCCCAAAGCTGTTCTCTGCTGATTGGTCAACCCATTTGCCAAGGAAATTTTGAATTGCAGCGAATGAGTGAATGGATGCTCCGAATTCTTTTGACTGCACTGTGGTGTGTGCCAAGGGCATTTTGAACTCTCTAAAAATCTGGCCCATGGGCGGGGCTGTAATCCTCTGGTTTACTGTAAAAGGACGGGGCATAAAGTTTATTTACACTTTTTCAAAATTCTTTTCTCTTTCCCACGCCCATGTCTGTTTGCTGCCCATGGATTAATTACCCCCTTTTGTAGTGTAACTGAGCCACGAAGATGATAAGGAAGTAACAGGTTTTACAGCCGCTTCCAAAGCCAGAGTAAGGATTGGCATAACCAGGGCTGGGCTGTGGCCATCAGTAGGAGGCCTGGGATTCTTGTACTAAAACATCTCTGTGGGGCCACCACTCAGCCTAGTAATGTTCAGACACCCTGACACCTCCTCCAGGAATATAAGTCTCTGTCCTTTGAAAGATCAGGTTTTTCCTGCACATACAATAAATTGTAATACCGGTTTCAAAAATAAGACAAAACAAAATAATAGCAGGTGCTATTAAAACAAATGAGGATTATTGGTACTCAGACTATGATTTAGTACTCGGAAGGGAAAGATTCCTACAGGATTCCTGTTAAGTACTTCTTTCTGTACAGACAGTGAAAAACAAGTTGTAGCTTACCAGATTTCATTAGTAAGGTTATTAGCTGCTTGAAGTGAAAATACTTTGTGAATTGTATTGTATGCTGGCTTTGGAACTCCTACTCAAGAATATTTGTTTTCCATGAGTAAATATCAGTAGGTGTTTTGGAAGGTTGCCTGCCATTCTTTCTTTTCCTTATTTCAAGGGTTATGAAATTACAAACACTGGTGAACCTTTGACTTACCCAGATTTTGTTTCCCTTCTGAACCGTGTCATATACATCTGGGAGTAGATGGAATGAAACTTTAGGTCACTTTGATTGGATGTGATAGGAATGGATGGTTGACACTAATGTCTTTGTGAACGTTCTCTGATAAAGGAAGAGAAAGAAAAATTGCATTTGGCATGTTTGAAATTCCTTACTGAGTTGAGCGGTGAGTATAGAAATGGCTACTGGGAGAAAAAGCAAGTGCTTAGGAAATAAATTATAAACACTGCGCCTTATTATAAAATCATCTAAGATTCCATCCTTCCTTTTATCTGTTGGAAGATCAATTGTTCATCACAAGTACCTAATTTTGTTACATCTCAAGTTATTATTATTGGCTGCTGTACCTGAGTCATCCACCTGTACTTTTTCTATTTCAACATGTAATTGTCAACAGGTATTGGCTGGTAAAGGGTTTGGAAAAAGCCAAGCAGAAGAAACATTCTGGGACCTCAGTGTTCTTGGTGTTTGTTATTATACACTTGCAGGGTCAGGGAAGAGAAGGGCTAATAGCAAGGTTAGCTATTCAGTCATCCACATGGCATAATTTCATTTGAGTCCACCATTTCTGCGTCACCAAGCAGTGTGCCCTTTCAGGGGTCTGACCTCTGATTTTGCAACCTCCCCACTCAACAATGAACTTCACAGAGGGCAGCCACCAAGGGGCAAAATGAGGGAAACAGGAAGACTAGGAGGGGACAGAGAATGATGGGCTTGCTTCATAGACTGTACAAAAGAATTGACTGTGACTCAAGGGAAATAGCTCAGATTCAAACATTGTCCTGTAATGTCACATATTAACAGTGATTTCTTCAGAAACTGGTATATATGCTTATCATGGTGAGCAACCTCATTAAAGGCATCTGCAGAGAAAGTACAAACAGAAGAAACTGTGAGTTGGAATTAACAATTAACAGCTCTCTTATTGAAGTGCATCACCATCCATAGAATGCAGTGGTGTTTTAGCTTTCTTTTACAAAAAGGAAAGGTAAAACATCAAAAATGGTGGGAGAAAAGTTTCAGAACACAAGGTCATTTTAATTCATAGTTTCCTTAAAAGAACTATCTCATCTGAGCTTTCATATTTTGTTCAGAAAGGTCGTCTCTTTTAAGCCTTGTCATTAAAGACGGTTTGCTCTTTAAAGTGAATTATCAAAGGGTATAGAAATTGCAAGTTACTGAAACTAAAATGCATGATCAATTTTAAGTCTGCTAACGAAAGCCTACTTAAAATTGGATGTGCTTTTGTCCTGGCAGCCCCTTTGATAAAACCAGAGAAAGATACATGGTTGGTCAATTCAAAGTAGTGAATGAAGATAATTAGATAAAACTTTTTTTCAACGGATGTTGAAGTGGCTCTTGGCTTTGGAGACATGGTTAGGAAGCTGTGGCATAGGCCATAATGGCATTTGAAAAGTAAAAATGGGAAACCCTAGATTTTGACCTGATTAGTGTTAACATTCTTTACTGTATTATTTTAAAATCAGGATCAAACTTCAGATCATATTATTTGCTTCTTATATGGAGGAAGAGAAATGAAATTTGTAATTTAAGACTGAAGGAATTTTAAAATCTGGATTCCTCACCACTATCTGGTTCCACTGAAAATTTGTTCTTCCAGACATGTCAGTTTTAAGCAAGGATTTCCATCAGGCAAATGTTTTTAAACCAAAGACCCAAGATATTGCTATAGATTCTGCTATTTTGAGAACTGAAGCTTAATCTAGACTTCAGGCTAATACATATTCTTTTTTTAATTTGTTTTTGTTTTTGTTTTTGAGATAAAGTCTTGCTCTGTCACTCTGTAACCCAGGCTGGAGTGCAGAGTGGCATGATCTCAGCTCACTGCAACCTTCGCCTTGTGGGTTCAAGTGATTCTCCTGCCTCAGCCTCCCAAGTAGCTGGGATTACAGGTGTGCACCACCATACCTGGCTAATTTTTGTATTTTTAGTAGAGATAGTGTTTCACCATGTTGGCCAGGCTAGTCTCAAACTCCTGGCCTCAAGTGATCTGCCCACCTTGGCCTCCCAGAGTACTGGGAATGCAGTTGTGAGCCACCACATCTGGCCTAATACATATTCTTATATCACCTTTGGAAGTCAGCCATTTAAAAGGAGTCTCATGGAAAATAGCTAGTTGGACACAAAGACTTTATCGTGGAACGGAAAGAGAGAGCTACCAAGTTAGAAGCCTGATCTATTTAATTAGCTAAAATGTGGCTATGGGAGGGAAACCATTGTATCCATGTCCCTTTCCTTTAGCTAGGAAAGGAGATTCATTTATAGGTGGAGTCTAACATTAGTTTTGTTTTCTTGGGCAATTCTCTTCACCTGTCTGGCTCACTTTTCTAATCTACAACATAAAAGGGCATAACTCAACTGATCAACTGATATTTCCCAAACTCTTCCATTTCAGTCTTCTCATTCATTGTTTCTCAGACAATTCTGTCAATCCCTGTTCTGCAAGATTTGTCTTGAAGTATTCAGTGTCATATTTAGGAAATGTGGCATGCTATACCACCCTCTGGAAGATTCACATTTACACTACTCACTCTGTCATTCATTCATTGAATAAATAGTTACTGATTGCCAACTGTGTGCTAGGCAGCACATTAACCACCCCAAAACTTCACGGCTTAAACAGTGATTTCCTATCATCTCTCTCAGTGCTGACGATTCATCTGGCTCAGCAAGGCCATTTTCAATTGGGTTTCATGCAGGTGCAGTCAGATGTTGGCTGGGGTGGCAGTCATGGGAAGCAAGGGCTCAAGCCCATAAGACCCATTCGTATGGTGGGCAACTGATGCTGCCTGTCTACTGGGGGATGGCAGCTGCAGGCAACCCTCCAGAGCAAGCCCAGTCAGAGACCAGACATGGAAGCCATCAACCCCATAAGGCCAGTTTCTAGAAACTGGCTGGATCACTTCAACTGTCAAAGACAGAGCCCACCCAGAGACAAGGGCAGAGGACATAGACCCAGCAAAGGCAAAGAATCTGTTGCCATCTGTAAGCTGCCACACCCTCTGCTTAAGAAACCAATTCACCTTTCTTTAACCTGCAGTTTCCTAAAATGATTTTATCCATGGAATCATCTTTCAGCTGCTTCTGTGACTCACATATTTTATTTCAGAGTTCTGTGAAATATTGATCAGAGAAGCCCAAACACAAGATATTGCTTAAAATTCCTTCCTGGCACTTCAAAACTGCTCAACTAAGTAGAGTATAGGTGCAGGGGCTGGGCAGCCTCTCTGCTCTCTCAGCTCTCCACGTCTTACTGGATGCGGCAGTCACCAGACAATTGGTCCAACCCTGTGATCTGCAGGTGTTTTGAAAACATCTAAATGGGCTGGTCATGGTGGCTTGCACCTATAATCCCAGAACTTTGGGAGGCCAAGGCGGGTGGATCACCAAAGTCAGGAGTTCAAGACCAGCCTGTCCAATATGGTGAAACCCCATCTCTACTAAAAATACAAAATTATCTGGGCATAGTGGCAATGTGCCTCTAATCCCATCTACTAGGGAGGCTGAGACAGGAGAATGGCTTGACCCCAGTA